TTCCACGCATCTCCCAATAATTTTATTTATAAAAATATATGTTTGATAATGATACACATCATAAATATTAATACTTTTTGTTATATATTTAGTTCAAGAAGGATTCCACTTGCCCATTTTGATGACAAGGGTTTTCCACAATGTTATAACAGTTCTCAAGACTAAAAATTAGCTTTGGATTTTGAGCGTGAAATAGGAGAGCTAATTACTAGATGCGGACGCTGCGGGAAATCAGGAAAGAGAAAATAAGAGCGGAGTATTATTTTTTAGCAACGATGAGTCTGTTGGGCCGCTCGACCGGTGCCGTGGCCCAACAACGACGGCGTGCCACGGAATCCTATTGGATCTGATGCCCTGACATAGCATTTTCGGTAAATTTTAGAAGTGCACTGATTGCAGAGCAAAATCATGCAACTGCAGATAACGACAGCCACATGTCCACAGCCACGTAGAAGCCCATTTCCACGCGTCACATTACAGAAGCTTCTTCTCTCATCTCATCATCAAAAAATTAAAAAACAGAGAAAAAGAGCAATATCCTTTGATGCAATTCAATCTGGGCCGTCCATACGCTTCCAGGCCCAACGGCACCGGCCACCGCACTGACTAATCCGCGTGTACAAACCCACGGCGCCGCACGCATAAAACCCTCGAGCGCTGCCCACCGAAACGGTTACGGCCCACTGACCACTGGAACCCACGTGTCAACAACGACGACACTTGGGCCCATTTCGGCGACGACGAGCCTCTCCCCAACGGCCAACGCTATAAAGAAATTTCAGCACCTTCCCGTGGCTTCCTCGTAACCAAAGCTGCTCCTGTTCTTCCCACCGCACCTCGGACCCAAATCAATCAGCCCCCAAGAATCCGACCAGCTTTTTCCCTGGTAGGCTTCCTTCTCCGCCTCTCGATCAGTACACGATTCAGTTGACGCCTGGTGTCGGGCGAAAATCGTTGCCGTGACTTGTGGGATCGGATTTGGCGCAGGGTTTAGGGGAGGAATGGCGACCAAGCGGAGCGTGGGCACCCTGACGGAGGCGGATCTGAAGGGAAAGAAGGTGTTCCTCCGCGCCGACCTCAACGTGCCGCTGGACGACAGCCAGAACATCACCGACGACACCCGCATCCGCGCGTCCGTCCCCACCATCAAGTTCTTGATGGACAAGGGTGCCAAGGTCATCCTTGCCAGCCATCTGGTGAGCAGCGGTTTCTTGCTCTGTGTCAGCTGTCTGTCAACTAGGTTAATTTTCTACGATTTGTGCTCGAGTGTATGAGATATGATGCTGATTTGGGCGACTGGTAACATCGGGTACAGTCCTGTGTAAGATTCTATTCAGTATTCAGGTGTGATTTGTAGCATGGGAGTACATCTGTACTAGTATCGATACCTGTTATTCAGTATTTAGGAAAGATAAGCACGGCCTGAATTCTATTTATGTGCCAAATCTACCATCACTGTCAGTCAAAAGGTGATTACTAGAAATTTTCTTAGTTTGGTTGCCGTAATAGTTAGGTTGATGGTTACACTTAAAGAAAAGGGTGATATTAGGTTCAGAGTGGTACAAGACTGCATCTTTTAACTTAGAGACATGCCCATTTGATTAATCATGTAATTTCTGTAATCAATTGTTCAGTAATTGTCTTTAGTCATCAAAATTTGAAGCGATATTTCTAACATGCTGGTTTCAGTCTTTAGTTTGAGACTTTCTTCTTCAAATGATGTGGTTTGTTACCTACATTACAGCCAATGCCTGGTAACCAATATATTACATGTTCGAGTCCCATAAGGTAACAATGAACCTACATTAATCACATCTTGTGGCACTTGAATTGTGGATGTCAGTCAAGACATGGATACACTAATGGAGCAGCCACTGGTTAGTAACATGATGTGATTTTCAACTTTTATTAGGTCAACCCAAACTTGAGATTTCCCTTAATAAGTAGCAGACCAAATATTCTATGCTTTGGAGAAAAATTTGTTCCTCCCTAATCTTATTTAAGCTTATAACTACTTTAATCGTTTCACTTGATCACGTCATTCTAATACAGTTACTGTTGTCTCTTCAGGGACGTCCAAAAGGTGTCACTCCCAAGTACAGCTTGAAGCCTCTTGTCCCGCGCTTGTCTGAGCTCCTTGGAGTTAATGTATGCATTATGAAAATATAGCTCATGTTCGTTCTTGTACATAGTATGAAAAACTCGAACAATAACTCATCTTATCTGCCCTTTATTTGCTTATATACATTGTTAAAAGGTTGTTATGGCCAATGACTGCATTGGTGAGGAAGTTCAGAAGTTGGCTGCTTCTTTACCAGACGGAGGTGTTCTGCTTTTAGAAAATGTTAGGTTCTACAAGGAGGAAGAGAAGAATGACCCTGAATTTGCCAAGAAGCTGGCATCTGTTGCTGATCTCTATGTAAATGATGCCTTTGGTACGGCACACAGAGCCCATGCTTCAACAGAGGGAGTTACCAAGTATTTGAAACCTGCTGTGGCTGGCTTCCTTATGCAGAAGGTATTTTCTGAAGTTCAGTTAGTCTGTTATGTACTTCATTGTGAAGAATCAATACTCTTTTTCCTTTTCAAGTTGCAAAGCCCTGATGTCTTTTCATTGGTTGAGGGTCAGCTTCCAATTACCTGCAACTTGACAGCATTGAAAGGTTCTGCAATATTGTTTTCATCTTTCAACTAAGAGCTCTCACATTTCAGGAACTTGACTATCTTGTTGGTGCTGTTGCCAACCCAAAGAAGCCATTCGCTGCAATTGTTGGTGGATCAAAGGTGTCAACGAAGATAGGGGTGATTGAGTCTCTATTGGCTAAGGTTGACATCCTCATCCTTGGTGGTGGTATGATATTCACATTTTACAAGGCCCAGGGATATGCTGTAGGCAAATCTCTTGTTGAGGAAGACAAGCTTGAACTGGCAACTTCACTTATTGAGAAAGCCAAGTCAAAGGGGGTCTCACTCTTGCTTCCCACTGATGTTGTAGTGGCTGACAAATTTGCTGCAGATGCTGACAGCAAGGTAAGCTCCTACAAAAGATGTAGATTTTTTTATTGCAATTTGTTCATGTTAGCCTATGTGAAGTGTCTTCTCGAATTATCTTGGGTAGCAACGGAACAATGTAATGTAGAACCTGCACCAACAAAACTCTGTTGAGTAAGTCAAGCTATTTGCACCTTGGCAATGGTAAAAAGTGGAAGTGTTATACCAAGTTTCCTCGTATCTTTGAAAATATAGCTGTTCTCTCACTCTGCTCATGCTGACACCTGCCGTCATTTGCAGACTGTGCCTGCATCATCTATCCCTGATGGTTGGATGGGCCTGGATATTGGCCCTGACTCCATCAAGACTTTCAGTGAGACTTTGGAGACCACCAAGACTGTCATCTGGAATGGGCCTATGGGAGTTTTCGAATTTGAGAAGTTTGCAGCTGGCACTGATGTGAGTGATACCTTGCATACGAGTTATTTGCATCTCTGTGTTCTCTAAGCTAAATTCATCGCCTATTTGTTCAGGCGATTGCCAAGAAGTTAGCTGAAATCACTGCTAAAGGCGTGACAACCATCATTGGAGGAGGAGACTCTGTCGCTGCGGTCGAGAAGGCTGGGCTGGCGGACAAGATGAGCCACATTTCGACTGGCGGTGGCGCGAGCCTGGAGCTGTTGGAAGGCAAGACCCTCCCAGGTGTCCTTGCCCTTGACGACGCGTAGGCTGGTACCGCAGTATATATAGTGCAAAAATGCAAGTCCTCTTCTCCTGTCCAGGAAACTAGGCGCGTCTTTTCTAGTTTTGCCAGATGAGCAGTGAATAAAATGGAGGTGTGCCCGGAACAAACTGATATGACATGGGATGTGTTTTATCCTTCCTTTACTCAAACCCTTTTTACAGTAGCCGTGCTTGGACTCTGGAAGTCTGGTTGCCAGCCTCAGTTTGCTGTTTGGTGCTTCACGTATTTCATGGTGACATACATAGTCGCACTCATCCCGTCATCCTGTGCTGTGTACTCCCTATTCCAAATTATAGGTTATTTTAACTCTGTTGAAAAGTCGAAAATTACAAAGATTTATGACATCAAATATGTATGTTATGAAAATATAATTAATGAAAAATCTAATGATGCTATTTGAGATCATAAATATTATTTTATTATATAAACCTGGTGAAACTTAATGTTTTGACTTTCCAAGAAATATGTGTTCTGATTTTTATCATGAATCATAGAAAATCTTCCTCGGTAATCTGAGTATCATTATGTTAAGAAAGAAACTAAAATCTATCTATCTAAAATCCTAGATTCATCCTGCTGCAGGGTACATTCTTAGTCTTTATTTGTGTTCATATGATCATTATAATTAGCATGTATGCAGCGATTGCTAGTAAACCATATACACACATAATCATCATAAATACTCTCTCTATTTTAAATTATAAGATATTTTGATATTTCTAGATATACTTTTTTAGTACGTATCTAAACATAATGTATATCTAAGTGCATAGCAAAAGCTATATATATGGAGAAAAAAACAAGCGTCTTATAATTTGGAACTGCTAATTTTAATTTTATATGGATTAAAGTGTGTCTAATTTACATAAATATCTAACAATGATTAGGTCATATGGTGGGATGCACTTTTTTAATCAGCACCGTGTGGATGGAGCCGTGCCATGTCTCGTCTGGAGTGGATGGCCCATGCGTACGTTCGGACGTCCGTATCCAAAAAAAAAAAAAATCAAAGCGTTCCTGAGTTTTTTACTATAAAATGGAAGTTTAGCGCCTTTCTTGGCTCCATAGAGCAAAAGCAGCTTCTCTTCATCTCCACCTCGCAACCAAATCACCCCAAGTCCCCAAGTATCGTCCCATCAACCTTTTCCCGGCCGGTAGGCTTCCTAGCTTCTCCTTGTCTTGATCACTTACGATTAAACTGACAGGCCGACGATCGTCGTTGCCATGACTTCTGAATCGGATCTGGTGCAGGTTTTAAGAGAGAATGGCGACCCAGAAGAGCGTTGGCAACCTGACGGAGGCGGATCTGAAGGGGAAGAAAGTGTTCCTCCGCGCCGACCTCATCAATGTGCCGCTGGACGACGACCAGAACATCACCGACGACACCCGCATCCGTGCCTCTGTCCCTACCATCAAATTCTTGACGGAGAAAGGCGCCAAGGTGATCCTGGACAGCCATCCGGTGAGCAGAGGTTTCTTGCTCCGTCTCTGAGAGGTTACTTTGGTCCGATTTGTACCGGCTCCACTAATGAGCGAATCTTCGCTGCATAAGAAACCACCGAACGGCTCCACTAATCAACGAATCTTCGCTGCATAAGAAACCACCGAACGGCTCAGCGAATGATCAGACAATCTCGTGACTTTTCTTTTCTCGAGAAAAAATGCTTTTATAACTGTTTTATTTTTAGAAAGTTGTAACGTTATAATCATAACTTTTATACATAATATTTTAGGAACATTACTTGTAATCATAAATATATGTTTTGACATAACTTTATAAATAATTTGTTATGACTACTTTTCTACATTACTTTTATGACCTAACTTTAGTTCATAATTATAAACAAACAAATTTATCATAATATTTTTTTTGAAGAAACAGGTGGAGAATCCTTTGCTGAACTCATATCTTCTAGTAATAAATTATACAAATCACATAATTTGTACACAAAAAATTTGTACACATAAAAAATATACGCAACTTCTTCAACACATTTTTTACATAATTTATTTCATAAAAAACTTTTTAACCTGAAAAAATTGTTCATAATATATGGAAGAAAAAGAAATAGGTTACATATGAGAAAATAAAAAACAAAGAAAAAATGAAAGGAGAAGAAAAACGAAAATACCCAACCGTGGAATCATTCTCCAACCGAACCGCTATATTGGATTTGTGGATTTGTGCTCGAGCAGTCGAGCGCATGAAATTTGTTGCTACATTGGGCGATTGGTAGGAACGGTACAGTTCTATGCATAGTGGCTCTGTTTGCTGCAGTTTTGCAGCGCAGCGGCTGCGCCTGCGGCTGCGGCTGCGGCTGCACGTAGCTCAAAGATACAGTACAACTCAGTGGAGGAGCTGCAGCCGCAGCAGTGGCAGCCGCTTCAAGCTAAAGCAAATATGCCTAATTATGGATAACAGTTGTTCAGGAAGGAGAAGCACGGCCTTATAGTGAACTCTCTATTTTTTTATAGTGAACTCTCTTTTTTTTTTGTGGGCTAGTGAACTCTATTTACATGGCAAATCTGTCAGCTCTATTAGTGAAAAGCCAATTAATTAAAATTTACTCTGTACTGTATATCTTAGTCTTTTCACAGTAATAATAATCAGGGTGATGGTTTGACTTAAAGAAAAAAAATGGAAATTGGGTTCATATAGTGCATGGTGTTTTAACTGGAGATATCCCACTTGATTAATCATGTAATTGCTGTAATAATTGTACAGTAACTGTTTTGAGTCACCAAAATTCAAAGGTCATCTCTCTCTCTCTCTATTGGGGGCTGGCACCAATTAGCAACCTGATGTGATTTTCAACATTTACGTCAATCGACAATAAACATATCCCTTACAAACTAAAAAGTATAGCAGATAAAAATACATTAAAAAGGGAGAAACGTTTGTTCATCCCTATTGATTTTTAGGCTGAACTGAACTGCTTAATTTTTTTCACTTTATGTATTCTATTTCTAAGCAATCACTGTTGTGCTCTCATCAGGGGCGTCCAAAAGGTGTCACTCCCAAGTTCAGTTTGAAGCCTCTTGTCCCGCGCTTGTCTGAGCTCCTTGAAGTGGATGTATGTGTTTTGAAAAGATAACTCATGTTTATTCTTTTACATAACATTAAAATTTGCAATTATAACTCATCTTATATCCCCTACATTTTGCTTATATGTTATATCCATTGATATAAAAGGTGGTTATGGCCAATGACTGCATTGATGAGGACATCGAACAGTTGGCTGCTTGTTTACCAGATGGAGGTGTTCTGCTCTTAGAAACTGCTAGGTTCTACGAGGAGGAAGAGAAGAACGACCCTGAATTTGCCAAGAAGCTGGCTTCAATTGCTGATATTTGTGTAAACGATGCCTTTGCACACGGAGGAGCCCTGCTGGAAGGCGAGGGCCTCCCAGGTGTCTTTGCTTTTGACATCAATGATGGTTATACCACGGTTAGTGGTACCAAGAACGGGCTGCCGGACAAGACGAGCCACCACATTTCAACTGATGATGGTGTGAGCTCGGAGCTGCCAGTAGGCACGAGCCGCAGGACCCTCCCAGCAGGTGTCTTTGCTTATGAGATCACTAGTGAAGACAAGAAGGTGATCCACCACATTTCGAGTGATGGTGGTCGTCGTGCGAGCACGAAGGTGCAGGAAGGCAAGGGCCTCCCAGGCGTCTTTGATTGGAGTGGTGAAGATGGCTCGTTTGTTACTGGCGAGAGCAGGGCGGAAGACAAGTATATCGAACACATTTGACTGGTGGTGGTGGTGCGAACACAAAGGTGCAGGAAGGCAAGGGAAAACAGATATGCCATGGATGTGTTATGTATTCTGCTGTATATCTAAAACCCTTTTACAGTACCTTTGTTTGGTCCTGGTCGTTACTCCTCTACCTTAGCCTACAGGGCATTCTTCATCGGGCAATAGACTGGCATTTCAGGTGCAAAGAACCTCTGAAAAAACAGAGCACCGAATAAGTGTCCTTTCTTTGTTTGGTTGGCTTTACTTGGTCGTTGCTGGACTTTCGACGGACTACGTAGTCTTGAGCTACGTCAAGAAGGTGCATGTGCAACTTTGTAGTGGATGAAAACAAACTTTATATCATAGTTGTAGATCCAGTTGATTACTTTTTCATTCGAAATCACTTACGGTCCCAGAATTCTGTTTAAAGTTCTTATATTTTGAAATTCAATTTTTTCAAATTATACAAACGACCTCAAATGGAAAAATGATTAGCGATCTACAACTTTGTATGACTACTTTTTTGTTAGCGATTATTTATGATCTCAAATTTGTATTTGAAGTTCAAACATTTTGAAATTCAATTTTTTGAAACAACTTTGGATGGAAATCGATCAATACCAAAGTTGTAGATCTAGATGAGAACTACAACTTTGTAGTTGATGACTTTTTTATTTGAAATCATTTGAGGTCCTAAAATTGTGGCTCAAGTTCTCATGTTTTGAAATTCAAATTTGTCAAACAACCTCGGATGGCAAAACAACAAAAACCGAAGTTGTAGATCTTGATAAGAACTACAACTTTGTAGTTGATGACTTTTTCATTTGAAGTCGTTTAGGGTCTTAAATATTCATTTTAAAATCCTAAAAAATGAATATTAGGGAATGGATATGTCATATAGACACAAATAACTTTGGTGTGGAGTGGTTAGAGGAGCTGTGATGACGTTTCTTAAGTAGTGTGTCTTTCTTCTTTCATTAGGGGTTGTGTGCATTGTTTGGAACTCTTTTTTATTCTTAATGAAAAAGCATTATCAGCATATTTTTCTAAAAAGTTTGGTCCTTCACGAATTTCTTGGCGACAGATTTGTACTCATCTATCATCATACCGTGTTGGGTCGTTGCTTTAAGACCCTTGTGAGAACAGATCACCATAGCCTAACTCTTGATGACTTCAGTGTGCTTCGTGTTGCAAAACGTCCTGTGTCGGCCACCATTTCATTTCAACCCAGAACTTGATCATCTCAGCCCTGAGGTGCTTTGCCGGCTTGGTTAGACTTTCGTCATGTAAACTGTCATTATTGGACAACAAAAATGTACTATGCTATTATGAGGAAGGGCTTATGTGCTACTCCATCATCCATTACAATTTGGTAGTGAAAACATCTAGCTCCTAATTTGGTTTTGATGATAATGATTGTTAGAAATGAGCTTGTGTATTCCAGGAGGTGCAAAGCCCAAAAGTATATTGGGTACATATATGCAAGAAAGGCCTTATACAATGAAGTATGTACATCAAATACATGACCCCCCCCCTCATGGTGGACCATGGAACCTGAGTTTGGATGATAACATTGGTGACGAGATCTCGCTTGTGCCTTGGTAAAGAAGTAAGCCAAATGAAGCTTCGAACGAACATAGCGAAAAGTTAACATTATCCTACACTTGTGCCCGAGTGTACGAGGCATCGTCACCAATATGCTTGGTGAGCTCATTGTTCACCGGATCTCAAGCAACACTAATAGCACCGGTACTGTTAAATAACAGAGAAGTTGGGACAAAAGATGAAACACCAAAATGCTCAAGTAACTATCATACCTCTGTGGTCGCAAGAGCCATAGCGTGCAACTTAGCCGTTGCACTCAACGAGAAACTACTTTCAACTTAGTCTTCTAAGCGATGAAACTACGTTGACACATGTGTGCTTGCAGATTTATCTGTGAGTTCTATCAAGTGTTAACCTGCTCAGATAGGAATTGTCGTGGAGCACCTAAAAGATGCTTCCCCAGTAGAGTCAGCATGAAAAAATGAATAGGAGTGCTGGGATGAGTACATATCATCTTGGCAAAAGTCTTAGAGATGGATAAAGCCTCACTATGGTGTTTCATGAAGTAAACCGAGGCGAACCGGGAGAAATCATCCATAAATATGATATAGTATAGATGACCCCCTTTCCAAATAAAGGGTGTCAAACCCCATACATCAAAATGACTAAGATCAAAGGGACCTTTCAATACTGACTCACTAGAATCATATGGAAGCTAGAGCCATTTACTTGGCATATAGCCCTGACACTGGTATGAAGTATACATCACCAAAGAAAGTTCCTAATAAGCCACGAAGAACTAATGTAGGTAGATGTAGACCACATAAAGGTCCTAATCAATAATGCCACTAAGAAAAAAGATGAGACTAGCATAGCAGAAGCAGAGCTCAAAATACTAGCAATGCTAGTACGAAGAGGATGAAGCTAGTTGTGCTTCTAAAAACGCTGAGAATCATACCGATGGGGGCCAGACGGCCAGTACCAACCAAAACTCGTGTGTTGAGATCCTAAACATTGAGTTGGAGTCAAGAATAACACGCAACCATAATCATTGTGTTGACTAGTGGAGATTATTACCTGCACCGTCAGATTGAGAACATAAGAAACACTAGGAACATGGAAAGAGAAGGACAATAGATCTACTAGAGTCAAGAATCCTTGGTGTAGTACCTGAAGTGGATGGTGGTGCCTTAGTGGAAGACTAAGTACCAATAGAAGTTGAAAGTTCAAAGTCTACAGTAACAGAACTAGCAACCCTGGTAGGTGCAGAAGTTGCAAGGCGACGGAGCAACATGAGTATCTCTTGTGTCTCAGAACTATCCAAGATACTCTAAGGTCCTCCAATAGAGGCATTGCTAGGACCCTGTGAGGAATGACCACCTAAGCAAGAGTGAGCCTTCTTCTTTAATTGCTGGAAGAATAAGTCTCTGCATGGCCATCTTTGTCATAGTAATCATAGTGAAGTCCACTGGTACTGCCACTTTTCGAAGAGGATGCCATTGAAGAGGGCGGGTGGCGATACGGCACGAAGAGCCATGCGGGTTGTGCGGAAAGGAGGGCTAGGCGGTGCAGCAGCAAGAGGAGCCGTGCGGGAAACACAGAGAGGAGTGTCAGGTGGGCAGTGGTAGGAGGAGCCGCATGGGTTATGCTCGAGTTGGCAGTGATTGACAACCAAGTGGTTCACAGCGTGAGAGCCAACGAGCTGACGGATCGTGTGGGCAATGGCAGTGTTGTGCCACTCGTGCGCATGGGCGACGGCAGGAAGAGCCGCGGCCGACGATGACGACGTTTGTGGCACCGCATGAACGGCAACCCAAACCCTAATTAATACTAGAGCCTGGCTCTAGATACCACGTTGGAAATGAGCTTGTGAACTCCAAGGGGTGTCAAGGCTTTCTTGATGTACTTGTTAGTCCTACTTTTCATGATGTAATTGTAAGTCATATATTTGGTGTATATGGGGCTGTTTGGATACCCGCCACTGTCCGCCACGCCGAGAGTGCGGCAGGTTGTGGCGGGATTTGCTTCTCTATGATATTGTGGCCACCTTGTTTCACTCGCCAACCAAACAGAAGCGCAGACGAGTGTCTCACCACTCTGTAGCGTGGTGAGGTGTGGCCGTAGACTAAACACCCAATATATACTTCATTATAATTAAGACAAATTACAAATAACTAGTAGAAACAGTAATCTTCTTGAGAGAAAAGAATTAAACAAAATACAGTGGTAATCAAATCAAGATGAAATTGGAATTTATTCTACTGTGACATCATATCTAAAAATGCACCGACTGAGATGTATTAAAGGTGGATAGAAGCCTAGCTACTAACTGAATCTATACAAATATACAAAGCAATAACTCATGACTCAAAGAAAAAACAATTATTGGTTTGAAAAACTGAATAATGGACTTGTCTCCCCCTTTTAATCTCTGCTTGTGGTTAAGCAATAAGCTTTCTTTAGTAAGAAGAGATGAAAAAAAATGAATGAGTAATAGTATGCATTCTAAAGCCTGCATTGTCAGCTTATCCCAATGCCTTGCTGAGAAACCAGCAACTACCTAATTCCAGAATATTAACACCAATTGCTAGTTCAGAGACTGGTGGCTTGATTTGCATCAAGGTCAAACCCAGCCTTGCAGGCTCGCTATGTCTATGGTTAGAGAGTATCACTAAGCATTTTTCTTTCTGTTTTTTCTTGAGATTCGCAAGCTCTGTTGTAACTGTAACTGTAACTTTTTTTGTACCACTTGTGCAGCTGTATTGTTTTATTACCCTTAATGAATACCAAAAAAATAGGTGGTGGGGCTTTTCCCCTACTGACCCCTAAAAAAAATTGCTAGTTCAGAGACTCTTTTTTTTTTTGACAAACCACGAAGTATACACGAATCCTACTCCTGTGAGACATGCATGACGCTTGGTTTAATAAAGATGAAACAAGCACATACCGGCGAAGGAACTCATCTGTCGGGAGCCTCCGCGATGCTTTGCCGCCCTTTACTGGTTGGGAGAGAGTGAAGCTGCAACATGATCTGGTGAAGCGTCACCGATCGAGCGCTACTTGAGACGCCGGCCGGCCGGCCGGCGTTTGAGCAGCCAGATCATGCTGGCAGCTTCAACCTCTCACACCAGCAATGTGTTCTTCCTTCCCCACCCGGATTTGGGAGACGCCCAAACGAGCAGAAGAGGACTGAGGAGAGCATGCATGCAGCTACAGTTTTGGCGTGTGCGAAGGCAAAGGGGACGAAATCAGAGCTCGACTGCGCGAGCCGTGCACGGACGGAGGTCGCAATGCATTGGGGGCTGTTGTTAAGCAGAGCACTACATTACTACATGCATGGTCCCTCGTGCGCCCACCCAGCCAACCCCTCCTCGTGACGCTGCCGTTTTGGTTGCCCCAGACGACGCTGTCGTGCTCGCTGCGTCTGCACGTATTCGTATGCGTCTCTGTTGTGTAGCCTGTCCTCGCGTTGGTAGCCCAGCAGGCTGTGTCCTGGCATGGGCAGCTCGGCGCCATCTGATTCTTGCGACCTCTCAATGCAATGCAGCTAACCAACCTGTTCTGATTGCCAGCAACGTCTCTTTCCTCCTCTAAAGAATTCAACCTTCCAACGACGGATTCAATCTTTCAACAATCACCTTTTCTCTTCCAGAACGGATTCAATCTTTCAGCAATTGTCTTTTCTCTTCCAGTCGAGCATGTACTGGGTGAAGGTTAGCATCCAGCGTGCCAAGTTGCTGATGGGGGATGTGGGATGGGCAGAGAAGATGCACCTTGACACCAGAAATGAGCTGTGCTTGACTTGAAAATTTGGTTTTTAGCATGCAATGATTCCATTAGAGTGATTATGATGGCCGAACAACCTGATAACACTTTGGCTTTGCTTATTATAAGCACCGAACAGAATTATGGCCATCGATCATTATTCTTGCAGGATTCGGAGTTGTTGTATTTCCTATCAATCATTATTCCATCATGTATATATCAGAGAAGTGTGTTACTGCATAATTTCTCTCGCTTTATCAGTTTTCTAGCACAGTAAAACCTAGGGATCAATTACCAGGGCATACCGCCTATACTTCTTGTAAAATTTCACCTGGCTCAGGTGAAATTTGTTGCTCTGAATGTGTGTACATGTGCAACAAATGATATCACTTAGTAGTCTATCTAGTTATGTAAAATGGAACAGAAGGAAGTCCATTTGGATTTTTGACCCAGCGGCTTTCATCTGGATTCCAACATAAAAAGAGTTTACAATCATACCCAGCACTTGGATGGTTCAACAATCTTGAAGATGTGCCACGTGGGTAAAAACATACGTTCACGGAAAGGGCATTTCAAATATGTACGGCCGATTGTTTGCCAGGATAATTCTAGAACCTGTTTAATATTCTCAAAGCATCTGCTGCAATAGTATTTCCTTAGCAAAATGCTGCAAAAGATCAGTAATTCCAGAGATGAGTGCTCAAAGGAGGCCGTCACAGGGGTAGATACTAGTACATCATCACTCTTTCTCTTTTTGGAACAACAGTCAAGACAAGCAGCAAACTCACAAAGAGGGTATGATCGACACAAAAGAAATCAAACATGCCCCCCTTCGTAATTTAACCAGGGGGCCACTTCATCTGCCTTCCACCGAGTACATGCAAGTGCAGATGATAGACAGATTGACCTATGGATTGATAAATGACACACCATTAGCATAAAAATGAAACATTTGGAGAGAACGGAAAAAAAAATGTGGGATGAAGGTTGCGCCTGAGCTCCTTACATCCTTCAGCTCCATTGTTTATGGCAACACGGTACCCATTTGCTACACCTTCCTTTTCTGCTACTACTTTTGCTGCGTAAAGAAGCTGGCCCAGAATTTCAGTATGCCTTGGCTCAGCCTAATAAGAACATGTAACAATGTCATAAAAGTCATGGTAAAATGTTTTACAGGCTGACCTCCTTTTGTGCACATAATATGAACTACACTACATACCTTGTTTAATCCAGTCAGCCCATCTCTCACTTTTGGGATGACTAGAACGTGCACAGGGGCTTGTGGATTAATATCTCTAAATGCCAGCACATTTTCATCTTCATATACGATGCTTGAAGGAATTTCCTTTGCAATGATCTTGTCGAAACTGAGCAAATTAAACATAAGTGAATATTCAGTGCCACAAAACAGAGTACAAGCAAGTGTATGAGGTCTACATGGTTGGTCCTCCAGTATCAGTAGTGGCGGCGGCTGCTTTGGCAGCAGCTTCCTCATTTGTTGATGAAGCAATATGGCGCACAAATCTAAAGCAGCAGGGAAATGTATCAGAAATCAACTTTAGAGCATTAAAGGACCATAAGTGTGTAAAGGGCTAAAAGAGATGACTACACAAATTCAAAGGACCTGAAGTTAGTAGAAGCTCAAGATAATTAGCAACTGAAAGTAGCCCGATCTGGTTGAATTGAATTCAATCAATTTGCAGACACAAGTTTTTATGACCACTATAACAAACTTGGAGGCCACAGTGACCATTTTGCAGAAGATCTGGAAGGGGTAGCAAGGGTTATGAGTCCTTCCTCCCTGCTATTGACTATCAATTGACTGAACTATCACTTGGGGTACTTGTCATGTAATGAAGAAATGAATCACATGTTCTCAACTTAAACTTATATTGATTTCTAGTGAACCTGGATGTTGTCCTAACACAAAAGCTTATGTCAGGAATGCTTTCCTTGTGCCTTAATATTCACCTTGCAGTGTCCATGTCTAAGCATGGAGGAGTTTCTCTCGGCTCAGTCAAGTGGTTCAACTGACATCCAATGAACAACTCTAACCACGGTTGTCCTATAAATTATTGTACAACCAAGCATAGCTTTTGTTAGCAACCAAGCAGTGAGAGGAATTGTACTAACCACTAGGATACCATCAGCAAGCAGGTAAATGCAGAAGATAGTAGACCAGATCGCAACCACTCAAATCCAAAGAAACACACAAAAACAAAAGCCGAGCCTCGCCAACACGAATAGCCCTAAATCCAAAACAAATTTACAATAAACATAAGCACAGTTTTCCACCTTTGGGGAGGCACGCGGTGGGGGAACCGGATACCCAGCGGCCGCAGCAAGGCAGAGCGCCTGTAACAAGGAAGGGAAAGACGAGTTGGGTCGGACGGGATTGAATGCGATTGCTGCTCGAAACTATTGTGGGGGAGCAGAATCGAAGAGCTTGCCTGAGGAGAGAGGACGTGGCCGCCGTGAGCGTGGCTGTCGCCGCCCTGGTCGCCATGGGAGGCGATGGCCGGTGGGTGGAGACTGGAGAGTGCAGTGCTGCTGCCGCGGCCGTGCGGGGCAGCGGGGGGATGCGGCTGCGGCTGCCGCAGGCCCGCAGTGCCGCGGTCCCGTGCTGAGCCAGTGAGCGAGCCCACGAGACATTCATGATAGCCGTCCGATGGAATGTTTCACGGTCCAGATGGAGCTCCCTGGCCGCTGAGATCTATGGAGAATCGAGATGTCCCGAATTTTGTTACTAGCCTAATAATATGAGCCCAAAAGCCCAAATCATTTTTAAGCCCACTGACCGTTTCCTCTTTAATAAGGCTTATTAATTTTTCTAAAAAAAATAAGGCTTATATATTAATATTAATGCGTGCATGAGCTGAAAGCCTGGAATATCCTGGCCGCACGCCGCCCCGGCATTCTGATCCGCCGTCCGCAGCCCTACACCTAGGTGGCTTGGTGCACCGGTCAGGCGGTCACGGTTCCGCGGCGGTGGCTTGCTGCGCACCGTGGCCATTCCGCTTGGAAAAAAATTGGGTGGGCGATGGGGCTACCGCCGCGGCGTGCGACCCCCTGGCCGATGGGTGCCGCGTAGACGTGGACTCCATCGCACGGCAGCTGTACACCGGAGACAAATCGATCGATGGCTTGGCTCTAAATCGGCTCCGCTGCTTGGAGTCTTGTTTTCTCACGAGACGACGGCAAGACCAGAGCGGGCTATTGCATGCTTGCATGCCGCCGCCGCCACTTCCATACGAATTGGTCGCGCCGGCCATGGCAGACGGCGAGGGCGGCCGGGAAGAGACTCAGGCAACGGTAAATAGGCGGAGGTACAGGAGGAGCCCAGGGACAAGGCTCAGGCGACGGCGACGTGATGTCAAAAGCGGCGCCGGGCTCGGTAGATGCGGATGGCGAGAGCCCACTGGGGAGAGCCGGAGAGACAGAAACGACGGCCAGGTCGTAGGCGGCGCAGGCCGCGGGTACAGGTGATGGCGGCAGAGGGAGCCGAGCCGATTTGGTGCCGAGCCGATTTGTCTCCGGTCTCGAGTCATGCATGTACAGCGCCCGTGCGATGGAGTCCACGTCCAGCGGCCAGCGGTCGCACGCGTGTGGCGGTAGACCCATCGCCCACCCAAAAACCCGTGTGCATAGGATCATGCAGTGCCCATCGCCATCCCTGCCGTCGCCGCAACGCCGCCCGCTACGTGTTGCGCACGCCGTCCTGTCCTGCGCCGGCGCGGAGGGAACGTGGTATTTAGCGTCCACCGGGAACGTGGTCTTTAGCTTCCCTGTGGACGACGGTGACGAGGAGAGAAAAAATTTGAAGAAAAACGTTTTTTTAAAAGGCATAGAAGTGAACCGAAGGTCCGATAGCATTTGAAGAATTTTGCCGAAAAATCTACATACTCCTTTCACGTCAAGAAAAAAACAAATACACAATGCAGCTTTGCCAGTGATTAACTAATCACCACGCTCCCATTCTCGTCTCGAGTCATTAGGCTACCGTAAAAGGTGCTTGAAGCAGGAGAGAGAAGGTTGGAGCCTTGGAGGAAGATCAAATGTCAAGGAGTGCCACTGTAAAGAGCAATGCTGATTGCTGAAGGAAGACGCTACTCAGAAGCATCTTCGTTCATTGATACTGAATCAAACAAAAAAAAAATCTCACGCTAGTTTCAATATCAGAACGCTGTGATCAGTCTTATATTGCACCATATATATGTCCTGCAGTATCTTTTTTGCTAGGAAAGTTGCAACTAGTTTACAATAACAAAGAAACACATGTCAGGCTATTGAATTAAAAAAAAAAAGACCAAACTAAAGTTCGACAGCAATTCCCAGATTACAATGCTAGGCCAGGCCTAATCATATCTTAAGGTAAATTTTGTTTGTGAGAAGACATTCCAGAGTTCGATAGCCATTACAGATCACGATGCTACACCTTCTCCTTTCTTAAGGTGAGAACTTGCATAATTCAGATCACTGCACAACATCTTCATATTCTTACTCCGTTTTTCAGTTTTAAAGAACAATTGTAAGTACGACAGCATAATGTTCTTAGCTAATTTGAGATTCCAAATTTCTAATCTCTAAGTACAAGCAGAAAGGCTAATAAAAACATATCCTATCCTTCAGAAGGAAAAGGCCTACCAGAATCAACCTATGATTTAGGCACTCAGCTAGGCTAAGCAGCATGAAAACTAATTTCTATCACCCACAACACAGTCACCAATAAATCTATATACCTTTTCACTATTTTTTTACCCAGAAATCATGGTCCTGAAGGTAGAAGGGGTTGCACTGTCTAGACTTTTAACGGTGAGCATCCATTAAGATTCAACGAACATGAATTTAAATGTACGAATATTCAAAGGGTATAGCAGAACATTGTGAACAGGTAGACGACTAGGCACCACGTCCCACATTTGTAACATACTAATGGGTAGATGCCCGTGATATAGCTATAGGTCATCTACAAGGATTTACAGCACAATTGTACTGGAAGAATTAATTTCAAATAGATAGACAAGCATACAGACAGCCCCAGTAATGATTATGAGTAATGACACGCGAGGAATTAATCCACGTATGTAGATTCAACATGAAGTTGGATTGTGCAGTGTTGATGCAGCTTGTACAGTTATAGTAGACTAAAGAATGGGTTCAGTTGAAGAATACAAGCTAAATAGGTTCTACTGAAAAAACAATAATGCATGCAAATGGCAGAGAAAGCAATAGCCCCTGCTTTGAGTGCAAGAAGGGTCAGTGTACATGTGTATTTTAGTAACCCTAAGGGAATAAAAACAGGGATAGACAATACCAAGGAATGATTAATGTATACAGTTAATAAACATCAAAAGAAAAAAAAAATCGACGAACGTAACTACATTGTCACACTCTTCCTTTTGGATTCCCTTGTCAATAGTATGATAGTTTAATGCTTCATTAGGTAACTTTCTAAGACTAAATATCCACAGACCTTAAACATGTATCCAAGTACATTTAACAACAGAAATAATTGAGGATAAAGAATACAATGTTATAGAACTGACAGGAGCATAAACACTAGATAAAAGAAACACAACATAAGGAAAAACTAAGAGGAAAGCCCCTTATCTCCTGGAAAGAAAACATGCACTTCAATAATTTTGCATGTAGGGATGTATCATTAAATGAACGCAGATCAAACTCTGAATCTTCATCCAAATCATTACTGCCTTTGTCCCCGCTGAACGAAGATATAAACACCATGCATTATTGGCAATGATAATAATATGTAGTTCAGCAAAGCTCTGAGCATCAAAATCAAATAATTCAAATAGATTGGTTGGTGCCTCCTCCAGTTGAGGACAACCCACCAGTGCTTCAAACCAGGGGTCACCAATTTGTAAATACCTCCATGAGAAACTGGTTTTAGCAACTTTCCTAGCTAACAAGGGTTTGATACTCCTCTATCCTAATAAATTAAAATGCAGATGAGAAAAAAAATCAAAAACCCTGGAATAATTACGATAACAGATAACTTCTCATATAGTAGCATATTGTGAACAGGTATTTGATGGCATACAAACATGTCAGTTCACCAGGATTGCATTCATGTATTCATGTGGAAGACTTCATGATCAAAAAGATATTTCTGTAATACTTTTTTTGACTCCTCTAGACTTGGCTTGAGTGTTGTACAAATCTCTTTTCCTTCCTAATTGATTGACAGAGTTCCAACCTCTTCCCCGAAAAAAAAGGGTAAGATGAGAGATAATATTTTGGCAGGATTTACAGCACATACAAGGAGATAATTAGAGTCCAAATCTATCAGAAAACAGACATTTGTGATAGTTCTGAATGACTTGAGTGTGCTATTGCTTGTTCATGCATGCAACGCCAAAAAGGCCTAGAAGTAGAGAAGGGCTCATCAATGCACATTGGACTCCAGATCAAGATCTAAAGCAGTTGAATTCCATTACCCATACCCATAACCAGAAGTCCAGAAGGGAAGGACCCATAGGAAAAGGAATTTTCTTAAAAACACTTCCACCTTGAGAAATGTCTAGTAACCACCAGGAAATTATGATATAAAATTACAAAAAAAAAAAAAACCAGCTAGCATGGAAAAAATCCAGTTTCATGCTTAAGGCTCATCACTCAATCAGTGTTTCTTCACACAATTAACTATTTACTCAATCAGATTACAGTGGATCCTTGTCAGTCAGGATTGTCTAGAGAAAGAGAGTTCATGAGGAAAACAAGGAGCAACGAACGAGCTAAACCAGTCTACAGTAGAAAAGCAGTTAGATGATCAGACTGAGATCCATGACATCGAAATCCTTTTCATTGAGCAACTTCTGTAAATGTTATAGCCCCTGTTTTCAGCTAAAATAAGGAAATCTACACATGCACAAATTCTCAATAATGCAGAAAATTAGAAATAGGTGATGCAACAGTAACAACTAATAAGAATAACATTAACCAAATGTGTAATATAAGTGGTTCCACTGCACAGGAAGGGGATAGGAGTATAACTTCTGGTTTTTTTACATCATCTATGATTTAGGACTTGTAAGCAGTATGCAGCCATAGGTCATACAAGATTTCAACACAAAGACCACCAAGAGCTATATCAAATAAAAGGTATCCAGAGGAACATATTGAAATGTCAAAAAGTTTTTTTTTTTTTGATATGGAGTGCATGCAATTGAAAATGCAATTCGAGGTCTTTTTCAAACTACCAATACAGGATATTTAGATTATAAAATAAAAAGTACTGCCTCCGTCTTGAAATATAAGGTATTATGGCTATGTACCTAGACAAGTACTTGTCTGTGTGCATAGCCAGAATCCATTATATTTTTGGATGGAGATAGTATCCAAAGGAATGAAATGAATTGTCAAGCTGTTGATCAATGTGAATCAAGGTCCTTTTCAAACTAACAATACAGGATATTTATTTATGTTATCAAATAAAAGGTATTCAAAGGTATGAAATGAAGCATCAACCAGTTGATCAGATATGGAATGCATGATACAGACAATGTGACTCAGAGTCCTTTTAACCGGTTCATTCAAAAAGTCCTTTTAACCACCAATGAATGATATTTAGGTTGTGTTTCTAACTTGTCATGGGACTAACATGGTCATTTTTTTAAGCACATAGAATAATTTGTTTTCCACATTTTTGAACCACTAGATAAGTATAAAAAATTTATTTTCAGACTTGCAGCATACAAGGATGATCATACCGTAAATATAGTCGATTTTTGGAGGTTTATTTTATTATGCTAAGCAAATAGGTTCAAAGATTTCACCAACTGAACAAACCTATATGATGTTACACCTGAACCGATCAGTCAAAATCTAAACTTAACTGAAGTAAACAAAAAGTGGGTTTATAACATTAAGTCATTAACTGATGCAGTGATGGCTGATGGTAAACCAACTAAGAGGCACAACAACCATAATATAGAAGGAACATAGATCTTACTCTTTTACTCTGATAAATTGACAGATATATAACAAACAAGAAAAACAATATGTGTATCAGTTCATTTAGTTTATAAAATCTTCCAAACTGACCAACCAAGAATAGCTTTTTGGGTTATGAACACAAGATCAATAGGGGACAATCCTACACCTGTGCATTCCATTTGGTGAAATAATGCCAGGTTATTTTCGACAGCGCATGGTCATTGATACTGTTTCCCAAACCAGTTGTGAGCAAGAAGGCAGAATACAGACAACATATAGGTTTGTCATGCTAACGAATCAAACTCCCAGTCTTTGCATCTCTGGTAAGCTTTCGGCTTTACGTTTACCATTATTCACCCGCACTTATGGGAATCATGAAATTAACTAAATGAGGGACTTACATAACCATGAAAACAAAGGAGGCACTTATGGCAAGATAGATATTGCTAAACCATGCAATTTAATGTCTACACGTTTCGCATCAACTATGAAGCATTTAAACATTGGGTCAGTTTACCATTTTTTTGTAAAAACAACTTAGATGTGCTAACATGCACACAAATGTGCCCACTACCCCAAAAAAAACGACAGCGATATATCATAGTTGAATGTGTTACATGTCAACTAATGCTGGATTCCTGCACTAACCACAAATGCACATCGAGTCTGTCTACTGGACAACCATATGTTTTTTGCAATTCCAACACATGAATTTTTTTGCACCATACGATTAAGATCCAACAGCCTCCATCCTTCTTCCACCTCTAGCCTTCTTCTACCTTCAGACAATTACCTTCAGACAATCACAAGATCACAGATCCACAGATCATAGATCACATATCACAGAAAACAATTTTTTTCTATGGAAGGACAAATTACAGAGCGGTTGGTTCCATTGCCTACCCGTTCATCATGGGTCGTCGCGTCGCACTGCTAGTGCTGCGCTGCTGGTGCCGCACTGCTGCTGCAGAAAGCGCACTGCTGGTGTCGCGTCGCACTGCTGGTGCTGCGCTGCCGCGTGCTCTCGCCGTGTGTTTTTTGTGCTAAAAAATTCATGTATTTTTTGGTGCTAAAACACATGTGTGTTGTATAGCATTTCTGATGCACATCACCTGCAAAATGGGAGACAAAGGTAACAAATTCAAGCACCACTCAGCCACTACGCCCAAACACGTATAACATTACAAACAGACCGGGCCTAGATAAGATACTCACGTAGGCAACCCCCAATTCACGTCCATAACCCTAGTCGCGAGGTCCTCACCCATAAACCACCGATTAGCAAGCAGACGACCCACAACCACAAACCGCATGCATCGTCACCATATGTAACGCCAGGCCAAATCATACGGACAGCAAACAAACAATTCGAAATTTCGAACTCAGAACTGCACAGGCGGAGACGCTATTTCGATCGCAACAAAAGGGGAATGCACCCAAATTCCTCGCAAAGCGGTAAAACGTCTAAATTTCGCGGATGCCTCACCTTGGGATCACGGCGCGCGAAAAGGCCCTCCCGGAGGAGGAGCAAATCAAGGCTCCACCGGTCCGCACCGGCGCACCGCTTAGCAAATTCGAGTTCCAGCGCCCCCACACGGACGCGGCGTCATCAAACCCTGATGCAGGAACCGCGGCGGCGGGGGCGGCACGCGCCACACCCAGTCACCCGTATTAACAATTACGAGGGGTTAGACGAACGCCGAGACTAGGGTTCGAGGAAGGGAAGGGAGCGCGAGACGTACGCGGTCGTGGGGCGTCACGGCCTGGCCTCAAAGCAGGGAACCGGCGGGAGGCGGTGGAGAAGCCGCCGGCTCGGGGGACGCCGCTCCACCGGCGCGCGTTTGGTTCCGATCGCCACGCGAGCACTAGGGCTTGTGCCGCCGCGGAAAAGAAGGTGAGGCGGCAAACGCCAAGGCGGCGCCCGCGGGATCGATCGAGATTCGAGAGGTGTGTGTAGCTTCTCCGACAAGGCGGGGGCAGCGGCCGAGCGGCGGGACTGGTCCGGCCAGCCGCTGGGTCGGGTTCGATTTGGCTCGCCCGCCGCCCGCCGCCCGCCGCGCGCCGCGTCTCTGCTCCTCTCTATGACGCGTCCTGTTCACGTGCCGTGTGCCAAGCTGTCTACCGTCTGGTTCGTGTGCCGCTCTGTGCTACAACTTCCAGTGGGGTGTGTTGGTCAGAGACTCAAGAGTCCATCACTCGCATGGTGGCGTCATGGCGAGAATGACATTATGTATTATAATCCTTTCCCTCCAGGGAGTAATCAAAATCAGCAATTGAAATGTGTCCATCTCAGAGATGAAACAACTGCAAAGTTCTCATGACCACAACACTAGGAATAATAGGAGGTCCATGGATATCCATCCGCATCTTTAGTTCAGGTCAACATTAGTAAAGGTACTTTATCAAAAGAAAAACATTAGTAGTAAAGGTACTAAAACTTAGATTTATCCTGGCTATGTTATGGTCTTTATTTATCCTTCGTCACATAAACAACTCGGAGGCAACCGACGACAGTTGAAAAGACCCCAAAATCCCAAATGCCACCAGATGTGACCAAGACATAAAAAGTTATGGCCACTTGAGCATTAATTACATGACCTATTAGTACTACTTAAGCATGATAGTTTCTTTCTTTAACTAACTTGTTTGTTTTAGGCTTCTACTTTAGCAAATTAAGTAAATCTGTTATGTCATGTCCTGACGTCCACCCAGCTGTTCGACACGTCCGTCCTCGGCCAGGCAACCAGTCTACTTGCCTTCGATCTGCAAAGAAGAAATTACCGCTGAATTTGTCAGCACAAAGGGTGAAAAGAAAAAGATTAGACTTGGCTAGCAGTACTGGTCAGCTAGCTTCGGACGTACGCGTACGCGGTTAGTTACCACAGCTGCAGACCGCGTTGACTGGAACTCCCACCGTCGGCGTCGGCGTCGGCGTCCGGCTGTGGCCACAGGCGCAGCATTGTGCTGGCCGCCGACTTCTCCTCCACAGCCAGGAGGTACGCGAATGACGGCGACTGTGGCAGCGGCGGCTCCGCCTCCACGCCTGCGGCGGCAGCTGCGTCGTCGTGGCGCCCGTTCTCGTTGATCTGCATCTCATCGCAGCGGCGCAATCACTTCATAGCTATGAGCTACCAGCTGGTCGGTCGACTAGCTATCGATCAAACGTCTATACGAGCTACTGTTCATGCGAAAAACTGAAATAGTTACAGCTACCTTGAGCTGAAGCTCGTCGGTCAGGTTGATGAGCAGCTCATCCTGCCAGAAAAACAAGGCACGCGGTTAAAACTTCAACATGCAGAGGCAGCTCACAGCCCTGTTTGTGGTTGAGCTGTGGCTGTGGGAGAAAGCTGCTGTGGGCTGTGAGCTGTGGAAAAGCTGCTATGGGCTATGAGCTATAGAAAAGCTAAAAGCTGTTTGGTTAAATAAGTATAAAATATACCTTTTATCTTTATCTCTCTTGAAACAACTATGGAAGAGCTTTTTATTCCACCAATTTCGAAAAGCAGAAAGCCAAAAGCCAAAAGCAAGGTCAAACCAGCTTTTAAAAATAACCTACAGAAAAGCAGCTACTTCTGGAAAAAACACCCTCCAAAAACAGCACCTTTAATTAGGCTTTTAGCTTTTGGAGAAAAAGCCAGAGCCTTAGGATCACTGAACAGTAGATACCTTTCTTGCACGGACTTTACCGACGGCCGACTCGAGCTGCTGCTCGAGCTCGCCGAGCTCGACCACCGAGGTCAGAGACGACAGGTCTTCTCCCGTGTACGTCTTCAAGCTGGCCCCAAGTTGTTGGTACTCATGCTGCAGCTTGCTGAACTCCGCGGCCATCTGCTGCTGCTGCTGCAATGGGAAAAAAATTCAATCAGGAGCAGAGATGGCGCATAAACAGACTGATGAAGATACTGAAACTGCATTGGGTCTGCGTACCTGATGATGATCATCAGTGTAGTGTGCCTCCTGATGGAAGAGTTGCGTGTTGGTGGCCGCCTCGTACCGGTGAATCAGATCAACCAAGCTTCGCAAATGGTGAGTGTGGAGTGCGTTAGTGTTAGGGATTTACAAGATTCTGGGATCATCCTATACTTTTTGCTAACCGAGATCAGATGTAAACTTCAAAGAACTAATCGGCTCGGATTGCTTGTATTAATCGTCGGTGATCTGAAAACCTTACAAGCAAATGCCAACGGGATGAACACAACAACAAGACCTAATCCGAGCGACAATTAATCCAAGCAATCCCAACGGGATGAACACAACCAAAAAATGATATGGCAGTGAAATCGGGCAAGAAAAGGTCCACATCAATTTAGTCACCCAGACCTGGCCGGTGAGGAATAGTCGAACAGCTTGCCGCGTTCGGAGAAGACGATGACCCCGATGTCCACGTCGCAGAGCACGGCGAGCTCCTCGGCTTTCTTGAGCAGCCCCTTGCGGCGCTTGGAGAAGGTCACCTGCCGGCTCAGCTTGTTCTCGATCCTCTTCATCTCCACCTTCCCACGCCCCATTGCCCTTGCGCCGCCTTGTGAGCCTCAAAACCCTGCCCAGCAGAACAACGAGTCGTGCTTTGTAGGTGCGGAAATGGAGAAGGTCGTTCTCAGAAATTCAGATCCCCTTCCCTTAGCGCTTATATAAGCCAAAGAGCCGTGCTTAGGTGCGGAAATGGAGAGGACAATGCCTGGAAGTTACTCACCCACCTGATACTGTTTGGTCGAAAATGTGAGTAGCCGATCAACAAATCCAAGAGCAAAACACTTTTCCCATTCCCATTCTTAAAATAGCGTGGTTTATTTATAAGACATTTCTATTCAACTTTTTTATGTACATAGTAGATTTAAAACAAGAAAAAGGTATGAGCACAGATAACCCATTTGTTAAGCTAGTCACAAGATTGAATAGCGAAGTCAAAAGTAAGCGATGATCTCTATTTAAAAAAGGAAGGTGCTTGCCTTCCTCCACAAGCACCTTCCTAGAAGATTCATAGGCCCCTTAGGGCAACGTGTAAAGCCTCTTTGTCCAGAGGACCATTACACGGAAAACACCTCTGCTGACCGTCTGATCAACGCACAGCGGAAAATTTGGACTCGCGCACTATTTGCTATAGTGGCTCTGTTCGTTTGTCTTATAATCTGTACTTTTCGACTTGTCTTTTCAGCCGGAACAGTGTTTTTTCCTCACAACAAATCAGCCGAAACAGTATTTCAGCTTGATTTTTCAGTGAAGCTAGACAGAAGTAAACCTCAGCAGCAAGTTACAATCCTTAATTGCAAACATTGCCGAGTTACTTGTTGGCCCTGTTCGCTCTTTTTCAGCTGGTTTTTTCAGCCGGAACAGTATTTTTCTCTCACCACAAATCAGCCGGAACAGTGTTTTGGCTTTTTTCAGCGAAACGAACGGGGCCGTTGTATTCAGACGGCTTGTTCGCTGGTTGGTCTCTTGGCTGATAAGCCCGGTTGGTGCTGGTTTGTTGTAAGAGGAAAACACTGTTGGCTAGCTGATAAGCCCTAGCTGAAACCAACGAGCGATCAGACTAAGAATATACAAAGGTGCACCAGCAAACATTGCCAAGTCCAGTCAAATTCAGTGGAAATGACTGATTTGGTCTTTGGAGTGAACGACCATGGCCCAACTCTACTGGATCTCAGAATTCAACTAGACACAAGGTCTGAAACGAATTTTTCTTCCATGAATTAACAGCACCTTACATGCTACCAATCAAGAGCAACGGGAAAAAAGGGGGAAAAGAAAAGAAATGAGGAGCATGAACCGCACAACACAAGCAGAGCATAGAAGCATTAATACCCAGCATTTCATATCAGAAGCCTCATGGAGGCAAACTTTTAGAACGGAAGGAAACGGTATGGTAACTTTAATCCACTAGCTACTAATCATTATCCTTTCAACTAACATCACAGCAGAAATGAAACTACCATGATGCTACACCCTACTTAGAATCACCTGTTTCAGTTTGATACCCAACGATATTAGCTAACGAAAACCTGCAGTTTGGACAACCTAAAATGAGAACTCTGAATCAGGTGATAGCTTCTGAGCAACATTCTCACCCACTTTAATGCAAAGACTGCTGCTCTTCAGGAGCTTGCCCCTGCTGTTCCTGAGGCTCCTGCCACAAATACGTCACTGGGTGGCTTTGCTGGGCACCATAAACCATTCCAGGACCAGGCACCTGCTGCTGTTGCATGTAGTAGTATGGATATGCATCTACTGGGGCTCCCATGGGTGGCGGCAACCCAGCCCTAGGAAGCCCAACTCCGTCCTCCTTCATCTCATCCCTGGGAACAATGTCGACCAAGAAGTCATAAATGTCAGTCCTAGTGATGGCTGCTGCAATGTCATTCTTCTGCAAGGTGCGGCGCTTGTTCTCCTCAGTGTGCATCCACGACCTCAGTGTCAGCTCCAGTATGAATATCTCACAAGCTTTTGCAAAGACCACAGGAGCTTCAGCTGAGATCATGCGAACGTCCTCATCAGCCTTCATGATCTTCTTTATCCTCGCAAGTGGCAAGTTGTGGTTCTTGAAATCAGTCGCCGCCTCAATTTCAGCCATGCGTTCAGCCCAGAACTGCTGAAGCTGCTGCTGTTGCTGCAGCTGGAGCTGTTGTTGGAATTGTTGAGCTTGTTGGTAGACAATCTGGTGCTGAGCACTCATATGAGCAGGGTTGGCTGGGAATGGTTGTGCTGACTGTAAACCAGCAGATGCAACTGCAGGAGCAGCTACTGTTGCTGCAGGCGGATAGGCAGAGGCAGGATACACTTGTGATCCACCAGCAGCAACACCCATTGCAGGCTGAGGCTGAGAGGATGGTTCCATGTCCACTCGCTCTTGCCCAAAAATCTAAGATCTTTCCAGAACTGCAAAAGAAGAAACAGATTAATCGATCAGTCCAAATTTAATTAGGAAAATTAGAAACAGTCCTGATGTTACGTGGCTGCTAGGATCGAGAGGGAGAGGCGGCGACGGAGCTACAGTACCCGCGGGTACTGTTCACGCGAGGGAGAGAGGGCATGGGAAGCCAGCAACTTAATTGTTGCTTCTTTTTTAATTATAACTGATACATGGTTCTCTTTTATAGAGATGACTGACTTGACCCCTAAGAACATATCCTAGTCGAATCAATCTAACATATATCTTTCCTAACAAACCAAACAACATATCTCTTTCCTAACAAACCAAACAATCTAATCTAATCTGTTCACGCACTACAGTACCGTGTCGCTACAGTACCGCGTTGGCCCCTGGGCCGGCTCTACTTGCCATAACACTACTCCATCCCTCGAAGACAGCTCGTCCTCGAGCTGTGGCGATTGCTGGAGCGGAAGACATTGCGGTCCAGAGAAGATCGTCATGGCAGACCTGCTTCCTCCTCGAGGTGCCAAACGTGGCTGCTCCATCTGATCTGCGTGGAATCGAATCCGCCTGGATCGAATCCATGGAGCGCCTGCTTGTGGAGTCGATGGTGCCCTCCACGAGCAGCCACCCCCGCTATGGGTGCAAACCAGCGGGATTGTGTTGAGGCGTACTCAAGCGACCGATGGAGCTTTGAAGGCTCGCCGCCGAGCCGGGGAGAATAAGCGCATGCAAACAGCCACGGCCCCGCCGAGGGATCGGTCTTTGTGGCTCGTGAGAGGCGGCGACAAAAGGCACCATGTCCGCCAATGTCGGTTGCATGGATGATCGCTGCATTGGTGACACTAGTCTTTGGCGGGGTTGTTGGCGAAGCCGGTGACGAGACCGCCGGAGTTAGGGAAACCGGCCTTCATTGGTGATGTGGCGAACTCAGCAGGGCTGTCTGGCGGCGGCCGAGGGCGCCGCGCCGTCTTTGTCCATCGGCGCGCGACGGCGAAGAGCGTCGACATCGGTGCCGCCGTGGAACAGGGGACCGCCCACCCGCCAGAAGACGCCAGTGGCCGGGCGCCGCCGCCAAGACAACCCGATGGTGGCGGAAGCGGCGATAGAGTCTTGGTGGTCATTGGGGTGCCGTGTAGATGGGTTTTCGACGAACCGGCGATCAAGCCGGAAGCGGTGACGGCGACGGTGGGAACTTGATCTCGCTTGCATGGGAACGCCATGGGGACGACGGTGGCACTACACGGTGAGAGCGAGGCGTCGCGATCCGTCGTAGGGCATCCCATACCGATGTACGAGATGACCGGCGCCGTGGTCGCGCGAGGAAGGCCCCGATGCCCGCCATGGCTGCGTAATTCGAGATTACGGCCGTCATCTCGCTCCGGTGAGTACTGAGGCGGCGGAGAGGCGGCACCGGGCGAGGGCGCGATCGCTTCGAGGACGCCAATGCGCCTAATGCCGGTGTCTTTGATATGTGGCAAGAAGACATTTAAAACGCTGTGGCGGCGGTGGACATGATCGAACCACATGATCGAACCAGAGATCTCTGATACCAGATTGTTATGTGGCTGCTAGGATTGAGAGGGAGAGGCGACGATGGAGCTACAGCACCCGAGGGTACTGTTCACGCGAGGGAGAGAGGCCAGGGACGGCTGGCTCCCAAGGGAAGCCAGCAACTTAATTGTTGCTTCTTCCTTGATTATGACTGATACAGGGTTCTCTTTTATAGAGATGACTGACTTGACCCCTAAGAAAATATCCTAACCGAATCAATCTAACATATATCTTTCCTAATAAACCAAACCACGTATCTCTTTCCTAACAAACCAAACAATCTAATCTAATTTGTTCACGCGCTACAGTACCGCGTGGGCCCCTGGGCCGGCTCTACTTGCCATAACACCTGAACTTCTATGTAATTTAAAGAAGTAAAACAAGGTTATTTCCGTTTTGTCTGCAAGAACAAGATTCTTTTGTGCACATGAACTTGACCTCTTGCAATTGTATTAAAATTGATTTCCATTCTTGGATAGCCCAAGTAGACCAGCTTCTGTCTCACCATCCAAAGAACCATCATTTAAATATCTCCACCAGATAAAGACAACGGATGCAGAGGGATAAAATGCAGTCAGATAGCGACAAACCATATTCCTACATCTCAATTCAAAAGCATGATCATATATGAACACATGCTCGTATTTGGAAAAAAAATACAAAGTGGTAGAAATATCGGACTCTCGGGTACTAGAAAATGCATTTAGGATCGTTGACTTGTTCATTTGGCCAGATCACTATCAGCTCGAAAATAGACCTACGATGACCTATCTAAGATCAAAGTTCTGACAAACCTTCCTGTGGCATACTAAAATCAAAATGCCCTTAGTCTCAGATTGGAACACTGGAAGATAGGATGCAATGCACAACCAGTTCCATAATAGTAGTTAGACAAGAAAATGTCAGCCATGACCATGAGTATGACTTCTTAACAATAATGCCCAGGAATCGGCTTCACAGGTCGCTGCGAGAATTAAGGAGGACATTGAGCAAAGGAAAAGGGCTTTAGAAAGGGGGAACTAGCAAGCCGGTGCTGGAGCTGCACCCGGGCTGTGGTTCTGTGTGTTTGCCACTTCTTTTTTCCTTTGCTTTCGCTTTCATTCGGACTACAATCTGTACATAACTCTCTTTTATTCTACCTTAATTGAGAGGCAGAGCTCCTGCCGTTCATTTCAAAAAAAAAGTATGACTTCTTAATTAGAAAGGGGATGACAACTAAATGGATGCTGAGATTTGTGTCCAAATTGAAGCAAATCATGAATTGCAGAACCAAAAATCAGATCTCAACAATTTCGGACTCGATCAGATGGACAGACTTTGATTAATTCTAAATATTCCCATTAGCACATAACAGAAAGATGGCTAGTAACCTTGTACTTACCCATGCAAAACCAATTCCACTGGAGAACTTATCTTTTCAAATTCCACAAGTATCATGTACTTTTTTTTATTTGCACAAGTGTCATGTAGTGAATGGGCATATATATTCCATTACGTCGAGAAGGATATGGCTATTGGATAAGGATAACGTGCTACTAATACAGCAAGCAGTGAATGCTATGCAATCACCTTGTCGTTCCACTGGAGAGCTTATCTTTTCAATCTCCCCAAGTATCATGTGTTTTTTTATTTGCACAAGTGTCATGTAGTGAGTGGGCAGATATATACCGACAGGAAGGATATGGATGTTAGATAAGGATGACGTGCTACTAATACATCAAGCAGCGAATGCTATGCAATCACCTTCTCATTTTGCACCTTTTAGACATTCTGAAATAAATAAAGTCTTTTAATATGTATGCACCAAGGATAGGTGGGTCCTACTAACTCTTTTGTCGCAAAATAGCATGACGGTTAGTGGTTTCAAACTTTCAAGGTCGTCCTAATGGTATTTGTCGGATTGTGTGAAACTGAAACAATGTGCCAATGAGAAGTAATGGTATTTGTCGGATTGTGTGAAACTGAAACAATGCGCCAATGAGAACTAATGGTATTTGTCGGATTGTGTGAAACTGAAACAATGCGCCAATGAGAACTAATGGTATTTGTCGAATTGTGTGAAACTGAAACAATGTGCCAATGAGAACTAACTGCATTTGTCGGATTGTGTGAAACTGAAACAATGCACCAATGAGAACTCGTGGATAACTTAGAGCAACCAATCATATTCTGGCTTAAGGCGTCATGTGGTTATAGGATGTAGCCAACAATGTAAGACCTCTTGGGTTGAACTAGTGGTTGTAAGGCCATTGACACAAGTCCTCTTGGTCTTAGCCCTAGCCACCTTCAAGTGAAACTAAGTGAACCATGTAGTTGGACTGAGGATCTGCTGGGTCAGGGGATCTTGGATTATTGAGATAGTTATGGAGATCTAAACTATATTTGATCCTCATTTAAGTGTACTATAGATATAGATATAAGGTTGTCAAGTTCCAGATCTTGAATAGAATCGACAATGCTCAAATCAATAATTTTACATGTTGCATGATTCTAAAAAATAATACCACCAGTCATGAATACATGACATTTTGGGAAGTAGAAAAAAGCTAACACTAGTACCACTAAGATTACACAATAATTTACATGAGTAAAAATATCAAAATATGATAAAAAAATACATAACAATATAGCACAAATGAAGGGCATTATATCTTTATATAATAGAACATCATATGCCAAGCAGTTATTTACAATCGATTACAGTAGGAGAGAGGGTAGCATGTAAATCATGATCATGATCCTACAAGTTGTTTTTGGCAACTAGAACACTATCTAGATACTGTGCCTAGAGCAATATTCAACGCAACCTAGGGTTGTAGAAACGTAGCAATATAAGGCTCAAGAGGAGACTATGGAACCTTTGTATTTGTATACATGGAAACTATTCCTATGATTGATTTATGTAATGCAAACAGTGACATGACTTATGGACAGGATTGCTCTTGACAGAACAGGTACCATCAGAGCCACACGTACAAACACAAAACTGGACACCCTCAAGTACTTGCTTTTACCTAAAAGAAGAGGGACACCAGTTCCCAAAAATGGCGGCCGTCTGTTCATGTATGTGAGCTGTTGGCGAAGGAGAGCAAGTTATGGGGAGGAAAACATATCTACTACTAATTTTCTGACAATTTTTCAGAAACAGAGGCGCAGCACTTCTTTTTAATAGAAAATCTGGCATTGCAAGTTTCTTTTCATCGTGATCTTTGGTAGGGCCATGACCCTTTCCTACTTTCTACTCGTTTGTAACTGAAAAAAAAAAGAAGGAAAATTGCTGTTTGAGGTAGGCACCCGAGATGAACAGATTATCCAAAGCAGCAAAATGGAGGAGAAGCGATTCAAGCGAATCGGGATTCGCGGACGAGAAGGCTTGAAACAAGCCGATCCCCGACCGGATTTGACGACAG